CTCAATCTGTCAATTTCTGCTTCTGAGGTTACTCTTAAATTTCTAAAGATTTTTTTTTTTTTGCCTTATGTAGTTTAATACCATATCTTTCTGCATAAAAGTTCATGATTGTTTTATTTTCGTGGTGCCTTTTGCCACTTATCAATATGAAGTGTCCCTCTTAACATGCTTATGCTCTTAGCCATGAATTCTACTTTGTGATTCTGGAATTGCCACTATTACTTTNATTTTTGTTGTGGAAAAGAGACAATGGAATATGCACACTTACTTAGGAAACATTTAAATGGTGCAAAATGAGAGTCAGTGGGAAGAAAGTCTCTCCTGCCCCCGCTGCCCTGCACAGAGGGGACCTGCCACCAGCCTCCTGCACCCTTCAGGGAGGCCAGGTGGGCGCGTGGGCCTTTCGCTGCCCTTGGTGGCCATGCCCACTCCCCTCACCCCTCACACAGCTATTCAAACGAGTTTAGTGGGAGTTCTTTTATTTAGATGTGTTCTTGTCAATTACGTATGGTTTCGTGTGCATGGATTATTTATTTACATAAGCGGTGTTGGGCTACGGATCTCATTCTGCTGCTTTCTTCTTCCTACTCACAACTGCATTGAAAACATCTGCCCCTGGCTATGTCTCATCCAGCCCATTGCATCTCACTTGCAGAGAACGCCCCACCAAGTACTTAACACACAGAACACGATCTCCCCACCTTTTTACATAAACAGCGACCTAGTAAACACACTCATGCTCAGACATTGATCAAAAGCCACCTGAACATACGTTCTATTGAGACTTGAGAAGGAAAGGAGAGATAGTAGCTGTGTGGCCAATGTCACTAGACTCCAAAACAGAAGAAAGGGGGGCTGACCTTAGGTGGTGGAAGTAGGTTTGGGGACAAGGGAGCGGACAGCCATGAGCAAAAACAGAAGCTGCTAGCAGTTACTGAGCGCCGTGTGAGTGCGTGCCTTTGCACTTCTAATCAAGTCTACCCTATCAGGTAGATATTATTTCCACTCTGCAGAGAAGGAAATTGAGGCTTGGTTAAGTTAGGAGAGAGCGCTGGGATGCACTCATGACCTCTGAACCTACAGCCCATGTCCCAACCACCGGGTTACGCTTCCTCCTCCCCTTGTGGAACTGTCACCAAGACGCGGGTCTTGTCTTTGGTTTACTTTAGTTGCCACTCAGCTTCTTCTCCTAGAGATCCCTATTTCACAGCTCACTTCACTGGGGTGCTTTTCAGAGGTGCCATTCAACTAGAATTGAGCTGAACAACTGTGGCCACAAAGTGCCAACCACATCCTCCTTCAGGCATGAAGGACTCAGTGCTGTGGCCCTTACCGTCCACCCCTAGGGAACCCTTGGCTGAAGAGAGATGCCCAAGGTCACCCCTTTTGGGGGAGCAGACCAGGAATCGGTACGAAGACTGGTCGATTAGGGTGCATAAAGCCCAGGTCCCCTTGCCCAGCTCTGAAGAGCCATCCCATGTCCAGAGGTCCCTGCAGGGTCGGCTGAGGCCCTTGTCGGGACCACCCCCCTGCCCAGTCTGTTTCTACCTCTCCCTTTTGTAGGGAGATCCCAAGGGCACCCCCGCATAGTCTTTGTTGCCCTCGCTTATCCAGAGGTCCCTGCAGGGTCGGCTGAGGCCCTTGTCGGGACCACCTCCCCCTGCCCAGTCTGTTTCCACCTCTCCCTTTTGTAGGGAGATCCCAAGGGCACCCCCGCATAGTCTTTGTTGCCCTCGCTTTTTTTCTTTATACCTTTCTACCCCTCTTTTTTCTTTCTAGACCTTTCCTACCCCCTACCATCCTCCAATCCAGTGGACAGGCAGCTGCGGTCCTCACGTCATCTTCCCCTTGTCTCCCATCTTGTACCTACATTGTTGGAGGCTGACTCACCCCTATGAACACAGGTTGGCTTTTTGGCCCCACCTACCCGGATCTCCCTGACCAGGAGGAGGATCTCAAATAACACATTTCTGTCTTCTCAGAGAACATCCGCTCGCTCTGAGGCCGCACCCTCCTCACCAGGCTGCGCAAACATCTCCAGGCTCCAGCGCAGCGGGGGTGGCCCCTGTAATGTGAAACACTGGCAGTGATGGCGCTGGGCCATTACAGTGATCTTTGTCTCGGAAAGAATACTTGAAAATTACAAAAATTAGGCCATTTCCACAGCATGCCAGAAGCACCCAAATTACATTTTAATCACTATACAGAGGAAGCCCTGATACTTGGCTTATAGATTCAGATGTGTCTGGTTTTAATCAAGGCGTGTGCTGTTTTTCCAGTTCCCCCACATTGGACTAAAGCAAAAGACTCCGGAATCCATCACCAGTGCTATGTTAAAAGAGCCCCGTAGTCCACGCTTTTATCACGAAGTGCAGGAGAAGCTACCGCCAATATACAAAGTCCGGGAGAAGGTGAGTCTGGAGCACTGGCCACCTGCTTCTGCGGCTGTCTCAGGGGTACCACCACTGGCACTTTGGGCCAGACAATTCCTCTTTGTAGGGCACTGCTCATTTACCATCCCTGGACCCCTCAAGGCTGGTCGTATCCCCCTGGCATACCCTGGTCACTATGGCAACCCATATACTTTCCCGAAGGAGCGACCTCCCTGTCTAGACAATCAAGTAAGGCTCGTCTGTGGACGGGAACCTGTGGTTACAGCTCACAGTTCTTGAACATACACGTTCTGCCTCCCTGGGCCATTCATGAGCAGCTTCAGGGGCGCTGAAGCGGCGTGAGTGGGAAGCAGGAATTGACCTCACACCCACCAAACTCGCCCTGCGACTGGGGCCAGGGCTCTGGTCCTCTGGGATCCCTGTAGGTCAGAAGAAGAAGTTGGTCTCCACGGCCTCAAAAGTCCTTTCCAGCTTTTGGTTCTGTGAGCCTGTGCACTTTTCCACCCTTGCCTCCAAATAAGGTGTTTTGGAAGAGAATTTTTATGATTTTCAGAAAGTTGGCAGTAAGGTTGAGTTTCAAATCCCTGAGCCACTGTGCACATCCGTGTCCTGGCCGTCCTGTGCTGGTAGCTCCATCTCTGGTGATGGGTTTAATGGTCTTGCATAGTGTAGCTGTGCCTCAGCCATCTCCCTCCTCATCACTATGTGCCAGCTCTGAAAGTGTCCTGGAATCGTGACCAGCGCCCCTGCATCTCTCCCCTCGCTCTTTTCCAGCAAGCCGTGGACAGCAACTTCCCCTTCTCTGTGCATGACAATCGGCATAGTTTTGAGAACTCTGGATGCTACCTTGACTCTGTGAGTATTTTCTTCCCAAATTTCTAATAAAATGGCAAGTGACATCAGGGCTCTTCATTGTCTGCAGCATGTTGGAGATAGAGGACTGAACCCCAAACTGCAACAAGGTCATAGCAGGTTACCAAACAATGCACGGAGCTCCCAAGGTTGCACGTGGCTTTCAAAGTCTGCACCAGCCTTCTGCCCAGGTTTGTGTGCACTTCACGCTTCTCGACATGACTTCCCGTAAGTTGTGTCTTTCGTGAGCTTTCTTGTGAAGATCTGTCCTGAGAAGGAGCGATCACCTGTGTGTGTCTCTGGACAGCAGAGCCAAGACCCACAAGGAGGAGGTGAGAGGGAGGGGATGCTTACATAAAAGAAAGAACTTCCTAATGCCTGCAATTGTCTTTTTGCTAGAGCTAGTAAGTTCCCTGTCATGGAGAACACAAATTCTTTTTAATTTTTTAAATTTGTTTTTTGGCACCTGGCCAGTCTGGGGATACAGACTCTTGACCTTGGTGTTGTCAACACCGCGCTCTAACTAACTGACCTAACCGGCCAGCCAAAACACAAGTACTCGTACTATTCGTTAGTGGTTCTTAACACTGCACTGTCCCATAGAAATATACTGTAAGCCGTATATGTTATTTTAAATTTCTCTGGTGGTCACGGTAAATAAAAAGAAACAGGTGAAATTAAATTTAATAACATATTTTATTTAACCCAAGAATTCCCCAAGTTTTCAATTCAACACATACTCAATATAAATTATTAATGAAATTTTTTTACATTGTTTCCCCCCAAACTAAGCCTTTAGAAGACAGTGTGTATTTTACACGTATGGTGCATCTCAATTTGGACGGCTCACATTTCAAGTGCTCAGTAGCTACCTGTGGCTGTTGGCTACCAGACTGGACAGCACAGGGTTAACATATCTTAGGTAAATGGTTGTATCAGGTGATTTCTGAGAATCCTTACTGAACCTCAATGTCCACGACGACGACGATGGTGATGATGACGTTAATAATACCCATAATTTGTTACGCATTTGCCATATACCAGCGTCTCATATTATCTCATTCAATCCTCACAGTGACCCTGAAGGCAACGACGATGGTGATGATGACGTTAATAATACCCATAATTTGTTAAGCATTTGCCATATACCAGCGTCTCATATTATCTCATTCAATCCTCACAGTGACCCTGAAGGCCAATTATTTTTATCATCCCCAATTTAGAGACAAGGAAATTGAGAACCAGTAAAGTTAAACAACTTGCCCAACATGACCTTTTACTCTGTGCAAGGATGTCTTAACTAAATCTAAGTGGCATAACATAAAAAATCTGGTTTGCCTCTGTGGAGTGTTGAAAACAGAACCAGAATATCCACTCTGCCTGCCTTTCTAAATGGAATGCTTAATATTAGTTTCTAAATTACCAAAGTAACATATGTCCTTTTAAAAACTCAAAAAACATAGAATTATATAAAATTAAAAATAAAATTTACACCCTATTTTCCTTCCTTACAAACTCACCTTGATGATTCCCTGCTAATAATTAATATCTCTTAAAAATTCTTATTTTGCTGTTCTTTTAAAATTTTTACAGTTGAACGTTTTGTTTATATACCTCTAATTGTTTTTGTTGGTAAATTCATTAAAACTACAAATATTCTTCAGATTATTGCTTTGACTCAATCTCAAAGGTTTTTCTAATTAAGGTTTCATTATTATTTGCTTTCAAATAGTCTGTGATTTAATTTTTAATTTCCCTTTTAATTAAAAAATATTTAGATGAAAGTTTTAAATTTTCTATATGCTTAGAATTTTTTTAAGATCACCTGTTCGTTGCTAATACCTAGTTTTATGGCTTATAGTAAATTTTATAGAGATGATCTGTGATTTTTACTTTTTGAATTATATGGAATATCTTTGTTGTCTTGTATGTGATTAATTTTAACAAGTGTTTCATGGGTTTTTACAAAAAATAATTATTCTACCCTTTTGGTAATAAAATTCTTTATATTTATTAATTCAGGTCTGGTAATTATGTTATTCTAATCTTTCATATCCTTTTCTTAATTTTTGTCTCAATCTGTCAATTTCTGCTTCTGAGGTTACTCTTAAATTTCTAAAGATTTTTTTTTTTTGCCTTATATAGTTTAATACCATATCTTTCTGCATAAAAGTTCATGATTGTTTTATTTTCGTGGTGCCTTTTGCCACTTATCAATATGAAGTGTCCCTCTTAGCATGCTTATGCTCTTAGCCATGAATTCTACTTTGTGATTCTGGAATTGCCACTATTACTTTCTTTCTGCAAACATTTGTTTTTTATGTTATGGTCCATTCCTTTGTCTTCATAATTTGTACTTATTTTTAGTCATTTTGCTTTGGGTTTGTCTTCTATTGGAATACAGCATGGTTTTTAAAAAAATCTGAGTCATTGTTTCTTTATATGAGAATTTAACCCATTCACATTATTATGAAAATTTATGTTTTTGCTTTCGTTTCTGACAACTCATTTCTATTTATCATAAACATGGTAAACATTTCTATTTATCACGTTTATATTCTGTTTCTTTTTTTCCTCTCATGACTTTGCTAGAGTAGTTGAATTTATTTGTGCACTCTGACTTCTACTGATATCCTCTCTCTATACATTCTATATAGATACCATCAAGTATAAATGTTTAAAAAATATATAAGCACTCTATTACTCTATGAATATATGGATTAATATCCATAGCTTTTCCCCAAGAAGAAGGCAAGTCTTCAGAGTGCTTTACCTGCCTCACTTCACTTCCTGGGGGCTGTTGTGTTGGTGGGTGGCCCAGGTCGTCTTCCGCCAACTCCTGGAGGTGCCATTCCTAGATGTCAACCTGGAGTTCAAAGCAGTAGCCTGACTTCTCCAGTCAGATTGAAATACTGGAATTTCAGTTCCAGATTGCTTGCTTGCTTCCTTCCTTCCTTTCTCTCTTTCTCTCTCTCTTTCTTTCTCTTTTGCTCTTTATCCTTCCTTCCTTCCTCTCCCCCTTTCTTTCTTCCTCTCCCTCTCTCCCTTCTTTACTCTTTGTGAATTCTTACTCAAAGTTCCAACACATTATCTACAAGTATTTAGACTTAATTATAACTTTTACTTGCTACTTTCTTCGTAGCTCCTTCCCCCCTTCTCTTCCTTTTATTTGTTTTTCATTTTGCTGGAGTATCCTCGAGTCAATTTTAGGAGAAGCTTGGACAGTGTGCCCAGCATCTTCCACTTGTGTCCCCAGAGCCACTCTCTCCTTTTGCTCCCTGTTCTGGCTCCAGGGCCTGATCCGTGTGGTCTACATTCTTCCCAAGCCCCTGAGACCCTGAGCCACTGTACTGTGCCCTGGGGTTTCCCTACATGAATAGTCCTTTTATAAACTCTCCTCCAATTGCCCTAATTTGAGTGTGCCATTGGTCTCCTGCTGCAAACCTGACTGATACTGACCCTTGTGAACAGACAACCTCATTTTACTGATGTAAGTAAGGTCGATGTAATCTAATGTCTGCTTCCTCTCAGTCTTTTGTGTTAGCATACTGTTTTCTTTCCTAGTTTTCGAAGACACGATTTTGATTACACAGTAATTCTCAGGTTCACATAGAAGGTGCTGAGAGTTAATGAGGAAGCTGTGACCCAAAGGTGCTGCTTCCTTCAGGGGAACCCTTGGAGTTGAGAATTCAGAGTCCTCAGACTTGTCAGAGAAAGAGCCATCTGTCCCACTGAGTGCTGGGGAGGCAGCCAGAAATGGGTACACCAAGGAGCCATCAGGGTGCAGGGAACCTACCTGGGGTCCCCGGGAGTTGAAGTTGTTTAATAGGCTGTTTCTGGCTGGGCTCTCTCTGTTTCTGCCTTCCATGTCTCTAAAAATCCAGCCCCATTGGGGGGACTGAAGGTGTCCAGCCCCATTGGGGGGATTGAAGGTGTGAGAACAATAACAGAACATTACCAGGATGCTGTGAGTGTTGATTGACAGCATTCAACAGGTTGGTAAAGAAGACCACTTGTCATCCAGCCCCATTGGGGGGACTGAAGGTGTGAGAACAATAACAGAACATCACCAGGATGCTGTGAGTGTTGATTGACAGCATTCAACAGGTTGGTAAAGAAGACCACTTGTCACGGTTGTCATATGGAGCATTTAAACATATACATGTTATGTAGTTGGTTTTAATAAAGACCTTGAATATTTTCCTACTAATCTTCTTGTAATTTTTTCCCCAGGGCCTGGGACGTAAGAAGATGTCTCCAGATAAAAGGCAACATGTTTCAAGAAATTTCAATCTTTGGGCATGTGACTACATTCCATCTTGTCTCGATGGCTTTTCAAATAACCAAATATCATATGTCTATAAGGAAGCCATGGTGGTCTCAAATTTCAGACGCTTTCCAAGACGCTATAATGAGATATGGAGTACTTTTAAATTTATTCCCGAGCGAAGCTATACAGAGTATTTGAAAAAGAAGCCCAAAGTAAGGTTCACTATTGACAAAAAGGCTATTTCTCCACTGGATCCCTAACCCTCCCAGAAGATTCTTGATGAGTTTAATAATATTGGTATTTCATCAGCCATTCTAAAAGTACATGTTTTCTGATCCAGCACTACCATTTAATCTTTGAAATATTTCTGTGATTTTTAAGAAGGTTGAAAAACATTCAAAGTCCTTATAAAATAAAAATGTGTGAAGATATACACACACATAAATAAACTTTTAAGATTGACACATTTACTTTGCGGGAGTTTAAAAAAGTACATAATTAATATGTGGCATTAACATATTCATTTTGAAATTTCAAACAATACAGAGGAAGCAGAAGTCTCCCTTGATTTTATCAGATCTCCAATCCTTGTCCTGTCACCAGAAGTAAGTTAACTCTGGGCTGGCCAGTTAGCTCACTTGGGAGAATGTGGTGCTGGTAATACCAAGGTCAGGGGTTCAGTTTAACTGGTCAGTTGCAAAAAAACAAAACAAAACAAAACAACAACAGAAGTAGGTTAATCACTTGTTTTTATTCTGTGCATTTATAATCATATGCATGTGCATAAATACATAAAATTTTGGACATGAATTATGTCACACAGTACATAACATTCTACAAGTTTCTTTTGATATTAGCATTGTATCTTGGAGTTCTCCCAGGCAGTCTGAATAGACCGATTTGTTTTAAGCTGGCACTGTATTCCCAAATATGTATGTGCCATATTTTTAAAAATATTCTTCTTATTGATGAGCATTTGAATTGTTTCTAATTTTTTGCTGTCAGACACAATGCTACATGCTTAATCAGCCTCTTTGGATGCAAGTAAACAGGCACCTCTGAAGTAGACGCTGGAAAGTGGCCTTGTTAGTGCTGGATGGGACAGTGTGCACAGTTAAAGTTTTAATAAGTACGGCTAAATTGCCTTTCGAAAAGACTGGACCAGTTAAACTCCTACCCTCAATATCTGTGAGTGTCTGTTTCTCTCCTCTCACGTTATCACTTAGATATTTAAGGACAAAAACTGCATCTTGTAATTGTCTTATTTTGCATTTCTCTAATTAGTGAAGTTGAGCTCTTTACCCGCACAGTGGCTGTTTATATTTCCCTTTTATAAATTGGTCAGTGTCACCTTCATTCTGTACCAAAATTTTCTTGTTTATTCTTGGATATTTTTCCTATACATGAATTTTAGAACAAGTTTGTCATGTAAAACAAACAAAGAAACTCATTGGCAACTTGATAGCAAATTTCCCAAATTTAAATGTTAATTTGTGGGAGAACTGGCATCTTTATACCATGCTGTATCTCCCCACTTATTCAAATATTATGTCCTTCAGTAAAGTTTATAGTTTTCCTCACATAGATCTATTTCTTTTCCGTGTTTATTCCTGCATATTTTGAAATTTTGTGGCTATTTTTTTTTTCAAGTTGCACTTGCAGATTGATTTTAGCTGATGCGTGAGAGAACTGTGGATTTCTGTGTGTAAATTTGTCTGTTTGGCCACCTGGATAAACTTATAATAATAAATAAATATTTTAGTAAAATAAAAATAATGTTCTAATAATTTTTCAGTTGATTCTCTTCTGGTTTTTTTAGGTAGACAATCATATCATTTGTGGGAGTGAAAATTTTACATCATTTCTAACATTTATACTTTTATATATTTATACATTTATACTTCCCTCCCATCTTATTGCACTGGATAGGACCTCAGGTACAATTTGAATATTATCACAGATAGTGCATATCCTTATTTTATTTCTGAATTTAATGAGGCTGCTTCTAATGTGCCACCAAGAAATCTGACTTTTGTTGTGATTTAGGGTACATAACTTTTATCTAGTTAAAGATAGTCTCTTATGTTCTTAGTTTTCTAAATGCTTTTGCCCCTGAAGTATTTTTTTGTGTGTGTGTGACCGGTAAGTGGATCGCAACCCTTGGCTTGGTGTCGCCCGCACCGCGCTCACCCAGTGAGCGCACCTGCCATCCCTATATAGGATCCGAACCCGCAGCAGGAGCGCCGCTGGGCACCCAAGCGCCGCACTCACCTGAGTGCTCAACGGGGCCAGCCCACCCCTGAAGTATTTTAAAAAGTATATCTACATGGAAAAATTTTTAAAGAAAATAAAAATAAATAGTAAAAAAAGAATTTTCCTCACATCGCTGCCCCCCAGTCCCCATTTTCTCTCCTAGGACCAGCCCTATTGACCTATTTTTGAGTGTATCCTTTTCAGGTAGGCTGCAAATAGATTCTCTCTGTCTCTCTTTTTCAGACACACATACTCCTCTCCCCCGTACCACTGTTCCCTTCTTCCACTTCGCTACCGACTATACATACAAATATGTCTACAGAGCACGCCCGGGGTCCTAGGCAGGAGCCGAGGACAGTACCCCCTGCCTGGAAGCAGGCAAGAAGCATGCCGAAGTACCACTTCCATGCTGGTGGCCCACCACAGCTCCCCCGTACCACTGTTCCCTTCTTCCACTTCGCTACCGACTATACATACAAATACGTCTACAGAGCATGCCTGGGGTCCTAGGCAGGAGCCGAGGACAGTACCCCGTGCCTGGAAGCAGGCAAGAAGCATGCCGAAGTACCACTTCCATGCTGGTGGCCCACCACAGCCACCACCACAGCCACTGCTGCTGCAAAAGTGGCTCGATGCTACAGCAGTAGCTACAGCTGCTGTGCAGGACGCCCACCAGACACTCAACTGCAGTGACACAAGGAGAATCACCAATGGAGACTGGAGAAAGAAGAGGACATCTGTGTCCCCAAAGCCCACTCCAGAATAATAGAAGCAGCACCTGCTCTACCACGCCCCTGCTGTATTTCTGATTTTAGTAATTTCTGTCTTCTCTCTTTCTTTCTTGGTCAGTCTAGATAAAGGTTTGCAAGTTTTGTTGATCTTTCTAAAGAATCAACTTTTGGTTTTGCTAATTTTCTGCACTGTTTTTTAAATCTCTATTTCATATATTTCTGTTATAATCTTTGTTATTTCCTACTTATATTTGCTTTTGGTTTAGTTTGCTCCTTTTTCTATTTTCTTAAAGTAGGAGTTTACGTTACTGGTTTGAGATCTTCCTTATTTTTATTATAGGTGTTTACAAGTATAAATTTTCCTCTAAGCACTGCATGAGCCCTGCATCCTATAAACTTTGATATGTGGCACTTTAATTTTTATCTAAAGTACTAATTTCCCTGTGACTTTTCTTTTTACCCACTGTTTATTTAGGAGAGTGTTGTTTAATTTCCACATAGTTGTGAATTTTCTAAATTTCCTCCTGTTATTTTGGTCAGAAAACATATTTTCTATGATCTTAGTATTTCAAATGTATTAAGACTTGTGGCCAAAAAAACCCAAATTCATCTACAAAGTCATTCCATATCAGTGCTTAGAAATCTACTTCCTTTTTAAAAAGCATGGCTGCCTGGCATCTCATTCAGATGTGCCATAGTTCATAGTTTTGACAGCTATTAGGCAGTTTCCAGTCTTTTCCTACTTTAGACAATCTGGAATAAACATCTTTATAGATAAATATTTGCATTCATCAATGAGCATTTCTATTTGGTAAATTCATAAACATAAACTGGTCCAATTAAAGAGTATGTGGATTTAAATTTTTAGTTCATATTGTCAAATTTTCTAGAAGAGATCTTGCTTCAGCTTACAGTTTCATTAACAAGACAGGAGATATGAAAGCACCTGTTTTCTCACATCCTTGCATCGTCAAACTTTATCATATTTGCCAATTTGTTAGTCTAAAAATAGTATTGCTTTTAGTGTGAATCTTTCATTGTGTGTGTGCAGCTGTGGTACAGCCATTTGTATTTTTTTTTCTTTTTTTTGCTGTGAACCATCTGTATCTTTCACTAATTTTTCTATTGGTTTGTTTTGCTCTTTAATCATTTGTATGATTTCTTTATATATTAAGGTAGTAAGCCTTTGTGTTAAATGTGTTCCTAAGTATTTTATCTAGTTATTTTTTGTTCCCCTTTGTTTCGTACATGTATGTGAGTGTATTTAAATTTATAAATGTTATTTCTCAGAACAGTTTTAGATTTACAGAAAAATTGAATGCAAATTATACCCACTCTCNGTTATTTCTCAGAACAGTTTTAGATTTACAGAAAAATTGAATGCAAATTATACCCACTCTCCCCATATGCCTACCCTCCACAGTTTTCCCTGTTATCAACATCTTGCATTGCTGTGGTACATACCATATTTTCAGTCCTGCATGTTTTTTTGACATAGTAAAATGAATGAATCTTTTATGTAATGACTTCTGGTTTGTATGCCTTGCTTAGGACTTCCTTTGTTTGAGATTAAATGATTCTAAGAGTCTGTGTTATAGTTCTTATTGTTAATGTATGGGGTGACATGATAGCAAATAATGTTCTAGCATTTATTGAGATGAGCATATATATCTTCCATATTTATCTGCTGATGCAGTAAAGTGTATTAATACATTTTCTAATCTTCAGCCATTCTAGCATTCTTGGGACAACCTCTGGCTGGTTATGAAGTATCATTCTTTTGATACATTCAGGATTTGATATCTGAACATTTTACTTGCAGTCTCTTTGTTTTTAAACTTCTGCAATTATTATTTTAGCTATGAATTGAAGGCAACTTTCTCTCCTTTTTATCCTCTGATATAAATATAAATTGCAAATATCTGTAGAATTTTCCACAAAAACTCCCGGACTTGGTGCTGTTTATAGGTGCAGATTTTTAAATGTCTTTTCTATTTATTTTTATGGATATTGGTCTGTATGGGGCTTCTATTCCTCTTTTTCTTCTTTTTTTTTCCTTCTAATTTTGGTCATTTTTGTTTTTAGGGGAAGTCATTTGTTTTATATGGGTTTTTNAATGTCGTTCTCATGTCTCTGCCTTGTTTACTAACTCTACGTCTTTGTTGCTGTTTTTTGCTTTTGATCTCATTCATTTATGCTTTCGTGTTTACTAATTCCTTTCTTGGGCTTATTTTGATTTTCTTTTTCTAGCTTCTCAAAAAGGTAGAAAACAGTCTTTCCTGTTTTCTTGTAAACCTACTTAAGGTTACTCTTGAACGCTTTTCTGTGTATACACATCGTGGTGTTTTTGTTATTGCTCATTCTAACATAGCTTGTAATTGTTTTCTTTTGTAATCCAAGAATGATTAAGAAGTGTATTTTAAAATTTATTCTTTTTTTGCTATTTTTCACTGTCAATATTTTATTAATGGGCTA